AAATCGACGCATTTCAGAAAGGCGGGGCATAGAGGAGAAGCAATAATGTACAGTATGTGTTTTTTTTTAACTTTAAACCGCATAAACATTTCATTACACCAAATACACAAAATAATGTTCTTTTTAGCAACATCATATGACCCCTTTAAAATTAGAATTTGGAATGCTAAAAAATAAGGTTTGAAATACCTTGTTCACTTTAGGCTCAAAGAGTGCCAGTTAGGAAGCCTAAAACGGATGAATCAGCAGCTGTCAAAGCTCCCGCAGGTAATCTAGCCCATTAATTTTGCATTAAATGAAGTGTATACACTTCTGCTCAAAAATGAATACTTTTATTCAGCATGGATACATTAAATGCAAAGTAAGTGACAGTAATGACATTTAAAATATTTTAAATGAATGCTGTTCTTTTGAACTTTCTATTTAAGAATCCTGATGAATTATACAATGGTTCACACAAAAATATTAAGCAGCACACCTGTTTTCAACATTTAATAATTAATAAATGTTTCTTGAGCCACAAATCAACATATTAGAATGATTTCTGAAGGATTATGTGATACTAAATCCTTGAGTAATTGCTGCTGAAAATTCAGCTTTACAATCACATGAATAAGTTACATTTAAAATAGAAAATAGTTATTTTAAATTGTAATATTTCACAAATACTACTTTTTACAGCATTTTGATCAAATACTGTAAATGCAGCTATGTTGGACAAGAGATGTTACAGCACCACATACAGACTAGGTTTTATTAGTCAGTGTTTATTTCTCCATAAAACTGATATGAATGTCATGTGATCCAAAAAAAATCTTCCTTTAGGAAGTGCTGTGTCCTTCTCCCCTGACCCGGCGGCCCTGCGCAGTATTCTACTGAATGAAGGTGTGAGGGCTGGTGGAGCAACACCCAGAGCTTCCACCTGTCCCACTGGCAGAGGAACCTCCATTTATTCTGTGAGTTTGCTCGGATGGATTCAACTTCCAGTTGTGTGCTATAATGAAGGTGTTTTGCATCATGTACCTTTCTTTACTTCAGGCCCAGAGAGTCCCAGTGAAGAAGAATAAGCCTGAAGCCGTGGCAGCAGCAACATCATCTCAGTGTAAGTTTGACTCTCCAATGTTTCTCCCCCTTCAACATCATGTTTTCGACCCTTTAAACCAATGATTCTCTGCTGTGGTGCAGGCGCAGTTAGAACACCAGTGATGAAGTGGACACCGCAGCGGGTCGCAAAATCCAAACCACAGTCAATGGTGAGTATTCTCCTGTCTTGTCTCATTGTTTTGTACAGTATCCATTGCCATAAATTAAAGGTTTTTTTTTTTTAAACCCAAGTCAAGGCTATAGAAAGTCTTCAATATCTTCAGCTTTTTTCTTTGTGTGTGTGTGAGATCTGTTGTAAAAACGACTTGTGTCTCAGGTTTATGTTTACTGTTTATATTTACAGAGGAAGCTTTGTACTACCCAAAAGATGTCCAGTTTAAGGGGCTCCCCAGGTTTGCGTGAATCTTACGACCCAAGCACTGGACTCTTGGTGTGCCAGAAGGTAAAACAGCCCCATAATGCAGAACCCTTGTACTTTCTTACTTTATCTACACAATAAAATGTCAGGTTAACACTAGGTGTTGAATGTGTTATAGGGGAAGGATGTCGTTCAAAGGTTATTTGAGGACCAAGAGCAGATGGACGATGACCAGATAGGCCAAGATGACGTACAGTTACTGAACAGCCACCAAACCGTACGATTGATTTAACTCGAAAACATTAATTTATGCATCACTGGTCAGTTTCTTGATGGCCTAAAAGTAATCTCACATGACTTCTCTCCATGCAGACTGAAGCACAGTCAACAATTAAAGAAAATTCTGATTCAAATCATTGTCACACCGAGAACGAAGGCAAGAAAACAGTCCAGCCTTTCATACAAGCAGCACACAGAGGGTCAGTCATTGTTTTCTCATCAAGCCAAAGACTTGGATCAGACCGGTCTCTGAAGAATCCTGGGATAAGTGCCCCTCTGCAGCTCTGTTTAGGCCAGTTTACATCCCATAATGCACTACCACAGCAATCAGACCAAAGTAAAGGATCACAGATCAATCCCAGCTTAGACCTGCCTAAACAAAGCCAATCTAAAGGTAACCATTCCATCCAAAGTGAACCTAAATTGAACCTTTTTTTCTGTTTTCTATTTTTAAATGACCATATCTATCTAATGTTGTAATTAATGATCCTTAAGCAGACATTTTGCACATCCTGAAGACTTTTAAGCATTTGTAGTAGTGCTTACTGCATTAAATGCATTTCCACATCTGTCTGTAGCTCCTGCTGTCAAGCAGTTTACCGCTATGTCTGCTCTGCGGCGGCGTCATACTCCTCTGGAGGAGATGTTTCTGGACGAGGAATGTGCTGCGTACACCTCTCGCCTGCTGTCCTGCCCACTGCAGCCCCGCTGTGGCAACCCGGTGGCCGCCACACTTCTGTTTCAAGACTCTACTGTGAGTGATCATTGTGTTTTGAATTGTGCATTGCACACTAAACCGGTTGTCAAGTTGAATAGCTGTTGATACATCTTATCTCTCTCCTCTACAGTGTTTTTTACCCATTGGCCTGTCTTCTCCTATACGTCCTGTCCCTTCAGGTTCTTTTATCAGAGCATAAAGGCAGATGTCTCACAACACATTGCACATGTCAGTCTGTGTATGTAAGACTGTCTGAAACCGTATTTCTAGTTGCACTTTTGATATGAAATGTCATAGTCAGATTCCACAAGCAGCAAAGTATTGGACGGGCACAATATTTGGTGAGATTCACTGTTGACAACATGACTGAATGCAAAATTATCTCTACATATTGAACACTTTCAACATTTTTACACTGAATTGTCACTGACTGAAAACACTGTGAGCTTTCCACTTGTCTCTTGTATAAAGTGTATAATAAATCTCTATATAAACAGTTTTACATTAAGCTTTGTCTTTATAAATGTCCGTTCTTTTTTTTCCTGCTATTACAATATTGTAGATGTCCTTTGTGAAATCGTTTAATATTATTTGGTGCTCAAGCTTTAAAACACTAAAATATTTAACATAGATTTAATTGAAAATTAATTAAGAATATTCTTATTTTGAAGAGTAAAAGATCTGAATTTCTGAATTATTATATAAAAGTATATTAGAACAAATTATTATATTTTGTAATATATATATACTGTAAATTATAAATATATTGGTTTTCAATCAGTAAGCTACATTTAAATAAATATTAAAATAAAACATGACATTAAGACTGTTTATGTAACATTGAGTCATGGTAAACTTGATCTTTTTATTAAGCATGTAACCTTTGCTGTGCAATTCAAGTTGATGCTTTATATATAGCTGAGTCAAGGGGTGTGTGACTGCGGTGTCTGTGTTTGTGAAATGAAATCCAGGGGGTGGGCACGAATTGCTGGAACTCCGTCCTATTAAACCCTTCCCTCTGGAGCCCCTTGCTTTGAGAGACTGTGCAAACGCATCTTTCATTCGCCTCCTTTTCCAATTTCCTCTGCCACCAATTTCTGGAATACCTGAATCATGGCTAACATAAACACAGCTGGGGTCGATCCGACAAAGATGGGGGTCGGACGGGCCATTGCTGTACTGACGTCAGGTGGTGATGCCCAAGGTAAGCAGAAAGTAGTGATCTGCCTCTTAGACTTTGTGCTAGTTCCTATGGTGGTCTTCAAGAGGGTGTTCAAAGAAATGCCTGCATGGATAATTAGATTCTAGTGAATTTGGTGCAATTTTTGGAATATCCTTGTATACACAATAAGAGCTTTTCCCCCTCCGATACAGTATTCATATTGTTATAGACACTGTTTTTATGTTCAAAGTCATGATTCTCTGATGTTCTCTATGGTTTAAAACTATCATGAATAAACATGAGCTAAACTTTAACTTTTTAAATGAATTTCTATCTATCCTGTTAAATTTAAAATTAAAGGAGTTAAAATTTAAGAAGCTGAAGCAGAAAATAGAACTAAATGTACTGATAAAAAGAAATCTAGCATTTTGGTTTGCTCTGGTCCGTTAAGGTCAATGCTCTTGTAGCCTTTAGCTTTAGCCTGTAGCTCTTGTCCCCGTCTTTCCATAATTGAAGGCTAAATTTATCTCCAGTGACCTTCTTCAGAAATGACATGAGGTTATGGAGTGTAGCAGGCTTTTCCACAGCTGCTCACTGTTGAAACTAGAGACACTGAGCTGCGTTTGTACACAACACCGTCCGAACACCTACAGCTTTAGTGCTGAGTTCACAGAATTAAGTTATCTCAGACACTCTTGTTCACATCATTCCACAATGCGGTCAAGTAATGAAATGTCATGAGGAGTATCTCTCTGTACTTTCCTAGAAGCCCTGTGTATCCTTCTGTATATGATATGTTTTCTTGTCTATTGCAGGGATGAATGCAGCTGTGAGGGCCACTGTCAGAGTTGGCCTTTACACTGGAGCCAAAGTCTTCTTTGTCCATGAGGTACGTTATTATAAGAATACTAACGAAAATGTCCATGCCAATCACATCTGTTAACATTGTTGCTGATGTCATGTGCAGGGATATCAGGGATTGGTTGATGGAGGGGATCACATCCGTCCTGCTACATGGGAGAGTGTGTCTATGATGCTACAGCTGGTGCGCCTTCAGATGCTGGAATTTATTCAATTCCGGTTTATTATTAACTTAACTTTTTAAGTAGTGTTGCGATTGTCTGTGTTCTTTGTATCTGTCTGAAGGGTGGCACAGTCATTGGCAGTGCCCGCTGTAAGGATTTCCAGACCAGGGAGGGGCGTTTGAAGGCTGCCTTCAATCTCGTCAAACTAGGGGTCACCAACCTTTGTGTAATTGGTGGCGATGGCAGTTTGACCGGTGCCAACATGTTTCGCACTGAGTGGAGTGACTTGCTGAAAGATCTAATCAGCAAAGGTAAACAATCTGTATTGAAGGTACAGATCATTTCAACATGTTTTTTTTTATATATATATAATTTTTACTGTTTTAATATATTTTACATGTAATTTATTCCTGTGATGGCAAAGCTGCATTTTCAGCATCATCACTCCAGTCTTCAGTGTCACATGATCCTTCAGAAATCATTCTAATATGTGGATTTGCTGCTCAAGAAACATTTCTATCATCTTGTTTCTCAAGATACATTGTTTTTTTGATTCTCTGATGAATCGATAGAGAAAGAACATTACAAGAAAATTATCTTTCATAACATTATACATGTCTTTACAGTCATTTTTGATCTATTTAATGTACCTTTACTGAATAAAAATATGAATTTCTTTAAAAATAAATAAACAAATCTTTCTGTATCCCAAATGGCATATACTGAACTGACAGCCACATTTGTACGCAGGTAAGATCACAAAGGAGGAGGCCAAGACTTCATCTCATCTGAATATTGTCGGTATGGTTGGTTCTATCGACAATGACTTCTGTGGAACGGACATGACCATTGGCACAGACTCTGCCCTACATCGTATCATTGAGGTGGTGGACAGTATCACCACAACAGCACAAAGGTCACAAATATTTGCAGTTTATCAAATTAGCTAATATCCTCAGTGTTCTGTTATTTTGCTTTGGCATTTGTTCCTACATTGTGACCTCTGCTCTCACCCACAGTCATCAACGTGCTTTTATCCTAGAGGTCATGGGAAGACACTGTGGGTAAGAATGTGATTGTGTATGTATGCTTATACACTGAAGTGAGCATATGTGTGCAACAGAACTGAAATTGAGACCAGACCCCCTAATACCTAGATCATATGGTTCACATGCCAGAATCTCACATTTAATTAACTGAAATGATCTTGCATTTGTTGAGCACAATATGTGTGTGTGTGTGTGTTTCAGTTACCTGGCTCTGGTTACTGCTCTTGCGTGTGGTGCTGACTGGGTGTTTATTCCTGAGATGCCTCCAGATGATGGATGGGAGGATCATTTGTGTAGAAGACTCACTGAGGTACTAAGAAATTGACAAAATGCAAGAAATGTACACAGAAAAAAAATTATATAGTTGTCACATAGTTTTACATCCTTGAAATACACTACCGTTCAAACGTTTGGGGTTTGGTTAGAATTTGTTTTTTTAATGTTTTTGAAATAATTCTCTTATTCTCACCCAGGCTTATTATTACAAATATTATACAGTTTAAAATCTAATTTTCTATTTCTATTTTAATATATATTAAAATGTTTGTGTGTGTGATGACAGAAGCTGAATTTTCAGCAGTCATTACTCCAATCTTCAGTGTCACATGATCCTTCAGAAATCATTCTAATGCTGATTTGCGGTCCAAGAAACATATCCAAAAAACATTTGTGCTGCTTAATATTTTTGTGGAAACGGTGATATATTTTTTTCAGGATTCTTGGATGAATAGAAAGCAAAAAACAGCATTTATTTGAGAGATAGTTTTTCTGTAAAAATTTAAATGTCTTTACTGTCACATTTGATCAATTTAATGCATTTTTGCTAAATAAAACGATTAATTTCTTCTTCCTCTAAAAAAATTAAATCTTACTGACCCTAAACCTTTGAAAAGCAGTGTAAATTTACTGGAAAAGCAAAACTGTAAATTAATAAAAACTTGTCAGAAGACATATTTTAGTACTTTTTTTCATGTATTTTTCTTATTGGTTTGGAAAAGTCCAAAAATAGATCAATTAAGAGAAAAAGTAATCAAAAATGCAGTAAAGAAGAAAGAGAATTATTTACAATAAATTAGTTTAGTTTAATTTTTCTTTAAACTATAAGAAAATAGCTGGTTGTTTGAACCATAAATCTAACAAAAATTGGTACGGTTTGTGCATTAATCAAGAAAAATGTCAATATTTTGACTGAAAAACAAAACAATGCCTGCATGGATAATTAGATTCTAGTGAATTTGGTGCAATTTTTGGAATATCCTTGTATACACAATAAGAGCTTTTCCCCCTCCGATACAGTATTCATATTGTTATAGACACTGTTTTTATGTTCAAAGTCATGATTCTCTGATGTTCTCTATGGTTTAAAACTATCATGAATAAACATGAGCTAAACTTTAACTTTTTAAATGAATTTCTATCTATCCTGTTAAATTTAAAATTAAAGGAGTTAAAATTTAAGAAGCTGAAGCAGAAAATAGAACTAAATGTACTGATAAAAAGAAATCTAGCATTTTGGTTTGCTCTGGTCCGTTAAGGTCAATGCTCTTGTAGCCTTTAGCTTTAGCCTGTAGCTCTTGTCCCCGTCTTTCCATAATTGAAGGCTAAATTTATCTCCAGTGACCTTCTTCAGAAATGACATGAGGTTATGGAGTGTAGCAGGCTTTTCCACAGCTGCTCACTGTTGAAACTAGAGACACTGAGCTGCGTTTGTACACAACACCGTCCGAACACCTACAGCTTTAGTGCTGAGTTCACAGAATTAAGTTATCTCAGACACTCTTGTTCACATCATTCCACAATGCGGTCAAGTAATGAAATGTCATGAGGAGTATCTCTCTGTACTTTCCTAGAAGCCCTGTGTATCCTTCTGTATATGATATGTTTTCTTGTCTATTGCAGGGATGAATGCAGCTGTGAGGGCCACTGTCAGAGTTGGCCTTTACACTGGAGCCAAAGTCTTCTTTGTCCATGAGGTACGTTATTATAAGAATACTAACGAAAATGTCCATGCCAATCACAT